AGTCGAATCTTCCAAAGATTACTTTACTTTCCAAACAGGGTTCCAAGAAATGAAAATAAAACATTACTTAGGCAATTTAAAATAGTAAAGTCGTACTCCTTTATAGTTTTGTAGAAACTTGTTCAAAACGGGTTTAATGTTAGAACTGCTAATGATCTGCTATTATAGTCGTGTAAGGCTAGTTACTTCAATGCACTAGGAATTGTGTTTTAATTCAAAGAACTGTTGAAAATGGCTAGAGGCAAAGAGAAACTTTGTTTAGGTAAGATATCATACCAATTGGTAGGATTAAAGAAATTTGTTTATAATTTAACTTTTAGAGAGGTTTAATTTGTGTTACAAAGTACGCTTAACGTATCATATGATATTTTCGATTTGAGCTTTTAGTTTTCTCGACACCAGTCTCTTTATTGAAACTCGTTTTTTGCCTTGTATTAACAGGCACACTACATAACAAACAGTGAACAACACATGATCAGAAATCCTTATAATAAATTATCTTTCTCGGAACTTGCGCATTTGCATACTCCATATTTTTCATAAAACCTACTGCTTTAGCAATAGGTTTTATGAAAATTGAATGAAAAGGCCTCTTCTCACACGAATAAATGATTTGACCAATTGTTAATTTCAGGAGTTCGTATTCAAGTCCAAGTTTTTGTATTTCACCGTGTGTCCTTAATAACCTTAAAATTCAGATATAACTTGTAAAACTCAAGTTAGCACCTGAAAGACAGCCTTATCGGGCCTTCGGGCCACAACGACTTCCACATTGATTCATACAATGTAAGTCCTACTACCGTATCCTATATAAATACCAAATGTATTTATAGGTACATAGACCTCCCTGATACCTGATAACACAGCCTAACTACCGGTGATTACAGGTTAGATGTTAATTACCGGCGCGCCAACTAGTTAACTGACTGTTACATACACTGTGGCATTACATTTCCTTTAATTAAGTCTTAGATCTAAAGTGACTATCGCTCTTAATAATATCGATTTACGGTCCATTGTTAAATGGATTGTCTGGAACATATATACTGTCCTTATATAGTTAGATATCATTGTTGAACAATGTTCCTACATTTTGATTAAGTTCTAATTTTTTGGGCATGTTCTTAATACACGTTCAAAGATTGATACTAAAAAGTAATGAAGTTAGAAAATCTGGCAAATACCAATATGTTTTTTTCCGAATTATGTTTATTTTATAAAATTATTGAGGCACAACTGACATACGGTGAAGAAAACTACAATAATGTCTGGAAATCTGAACTTACATATAACTTCTAATATAATCGCCATACCGCGTTGCAGAAGCTTGGTACGTAATAAACACTAACTCGTCATTCCCTCTCCAGTATTTAAATGGCGACTAAACTCCTATTACTTAAACTTTACTAAAGAAATCTGATTTTTTTCTTGTTAGAAAAAGGCTTAATGTCGGTCATAGTAGGTGTAATAAAAACATTAACTACGTATACAAATATGTATAATTTTTATTTTCTAGTTATCCACTCTTAAAGCACAATTTGGGACTCATAAAACCTTGCAAAATAGGTGCCATATCCCTCTGTTATTTAATTTTCGAATCCATCAAGCAAGAAATAAATAAATTTACCGCACACTGGGCGACACTCAACTGACAAATACATATAATAAAATTACACAAATGTTACCCAACTTTCCTTTGGATGACAATGGAAAACTAACCCTAAGCCTCAAGTAGAAAGGTTGAATTTACCAGCTGGTGTCTAGATTAGGTACTTGCATCTAGTCTTGTCCATTTCGCTTCATGCATGATTCTCCGCATGATCTGTGTGTCATCTCCTTAGTTTGGGATGCTGTGGAATATTCATTGACCAATTTAACTGGCGACGTTTGAACAAGGATTGGCTTCGATGTAATATGGAGTTTATGTACTTGGTAGTTGCTACAATGTGTTTGATTGAGTTTGGGAAGCAAATTAATGTAACACTGTGTTGGAGCAGTCTCGAGAGAGTAGAAGTTGGGGGTTTTTAATAATATATAGTTTGTTCACGCTTGGAAGAGCAATACTTCGACACGAATGGGTTAGACCAGATTGATACCACGGCCTAATAGAATACCGGCGTTAAAAAACTCATTTTTTGTGAGGGGAAAATCATCACGTGACTTCTCTCGCTCAGGACGCGGAGAGAGGGAATGTCAGGTTCTTACTGACTAAAACTACCCTTTCTTTCTACTGCTTGATGCCGAGGCTGCATTACCTAATTGCGCTAGCCTCCCCCGTCTGTAGTGGTCCACTAGCTATGTTTTGTTTCGCCGAGTAAGCCAGGTTACTAAAGGCTCAATCTTACTATTTCCAAATTTCAAATCCCTACAACTCACAAAAGGCTAGTTAAACACTCGTAACCTGCCCTGGTCTGGCCTGGCCCTAGCAATAGGTGGGGCAGAGTGTCAGACTGACTCTTACTGATTGAAAAGAACATTTCGAGTTAGGCCGCGATACATCCTTGCGCTTACAACCACATCCCGGCAGCATATCGGTGATACGAAGACTCTTTGTCGAGCGCACACAATTCAAAAGAACGACAAACATGATTGTTCTGACATACATGAACATAGATATCATAACATAAACCTAAGTACCATTAAGGTTTATATAAGATCATGCCACTTGACCCCAAGAACATAACAGCGTCGAGACATCCATTCCTGTTAATTCCATTTAGTGGATGGGCATAGGTTAATAGAAATTGCCTCTGTAAAGCCCCTTTATAATTTAGCGGTAACATAATGTTTTGCTGTTCTTGTTACATGTCACTTCGTACTTTAAGGATAGAAGGACAGGGTACAAAGTCAAAATATTGAAGTCATAATAATTTATTCCAATTAAACCATAAAAAGGGACTTTTGAAACGTCAAAATAGAATAGCAGTCTGACAGTCTCTTCAACAGTAAAGCTAGGTGCTTGTCCCAAGTTGTAGATTCGAATGCAGAAGAACTAGCAAGAATCTCCATCGTTTTTATTGTATTCATTTCAATTAGTCGAGATTCAGGCACTTTTGAAAGTCAATCGAAGATAATGATCGATGACACACACAGTCTCCGATACACCGCATCAAACACGTCATCAGTATATGTATAAGTGCTTACTGCTTAGCAAAGGCCTCTCCTCAGACGGAGAAGGTTTGAACAGCAACACGCTTGCTCAAAAAGGATTGATGATTTCAAACTATTACTAATTAGAAGTAATATTCTAGTATTGTCTTATACTAGAATGTTGGCTGAAATTAATGCTTTTGTTTTTAAATTTTAACGAAATCAACCAAGTAGGATCAATTTTATTTCTAAAAACTTATTTCTTACAGACGATTTTACTTTTCATCTTCGTTAAGACAAAGATCATTGCGACCCTACACATTAAGGTGCCTCCAAATCTTACCTACATTCCCTAAGCCCTAACATCGGGTCCCTTAGTAGTATGACATTAATAACGATTACCTAAAGCAGTATATGTACACGCAGCTTTAGAAGTCACGGCAAGATTTGGATCTTGAAATATTAGCCGAATTCGGTTTAAGGGATTTTGAGGATAGTGTGAATTTCGTCTACTATTTCTGAGGAGTATACATACGTAAACTTTTATTATGTTATCAGGGGAATTGAAGGAATAATAATAAAATAATTGATATGTTTTTTATCCATGGACCAAGAGAGCTATGAGATATACATATATATATATGGATATGATGTAGAGTTCGAGACTTTTTCGGGATAAAGGATTGGGGATTTGGGGTTTGGGATAATGGCATTCACTTCATCCCCAACCCCTAGGTTAGGCAACCCTAATTACATGGCGAAATATAACGCTGTTGCTGTTTCACGAAAGTTTTCTGAAAGGCCGTATGGTATCACTCCGGTTGAGCTTGCCCATTCGTGTAAAAGCATGGCTCTCCCATATTAAAAATAATATGCATCCCAGTTTTTTTTAATTGTATTGCTTGTACATGCTGCTTCCATTAACCTAAAGAATAATCTTACTAATATTATAAATGCGAAAGTTACGATGTTTGGATGCTTGTTACTTAATCACGCCAAAACGGCTGGACGGATCTAGATGAAATTTGGCACAGGCATAGGATACACTCCGGAATACGACATAGGCTTTTTATCAACATACAACAACATAGAAGCTAGTATTACATAACGAATACATTATCGTCAACAGTCTGCGACAAGACACTGTTGGATCTCCACCTTCTACCACATATAAAGTCGGAGAATGAGATGTTTACCTTAATAAAATTACACATGGGGATATAAACAGTATTGTTCTTTAATAAAGTTTGAGGTTTAATAGGTCCAATGTTCAAAAAAAAATTGTGTAAGAAGATAAACCAAAAAAAAAAAAACAAAATAAAAACACTTTAAAAACTTTAATGAAATTCGCGATACCACATACGGGGTAACCGCAAAAATTCTAAACCGCACAGAATGGCTTGTATCACATAACCATGAATCAGGGTCTAAACGGTGCAAAGTTGGTATTCCGATGTAGCACCGTGAGCTATTCGGTGTGATGGGCGCCCGTTGGCACCGACCCAACTTACGACCATCGATTTACATAACTTGTACAAAAGATCAAAAATCTATTTAAACTGTTTGGTGATAGGCGACGGTTTTGTTTTGTTTTTAGGTTATTTTTTGCGGCATAGGTTTTAAGGTGTTGCGGTTTTTTGGAATCGCGTTAATGTTTTTACAAAAGGGTAGTTACCAACTTGTCAAATTCAAGTAATCTAAATGCTAAAATCTTTAATTGTTTACGAATCTTAGTATGATGTTATGATACTATTGCGCATAAGTATTCATTTTTTTTAATTTATCAGCAAACACAGCTTGAATATTAAACAATATGATTGTTTTTATAAATTTATTATATTGAAAAGTCGAAATCATTTCCTTTTTTTATCATTTTCTATTTCATTCAGCATTGTTTTCTATTGTTATAGAATCTGAAAGATCAAATTCTGACGACGAACGTGTGGCTGGAACATGTAAGTAACACAGATTATTTAAATACATGCAAATTTCTTGACGAACTGCATGCGACTATTGCAGGCATCAAAGTGATGTAATTTGAGGGTCATATGTCCATGAATGGAGTAAATGAAATAGTTACACTTGAATATTGACACAACAAACGTAGTGTGGGCAAGCCTCCCGCTAGGTGGACCGACGACATCGTCAGAGTCACGGGGAGCCAATGGATGCAGGTGGCAAATTGTCGTTCGCCGTGGAGAGCTAAGGGGGAGGCCTTTGTCCAGCAATGGACGTCTTCCGGCTGATGATGATGATGATGATGATAAATATTGACAAAACAATTCAAAGAAAATTTTATAAATACAATATCTATTATTGTTTTTTGTGCAAATTATATTTTTTGTTTGAAATAATATATTAATTGAAAATAACGACTTACTCACACGAATTAGTTCAGAAAAGCTCAACTAGTTTCAAGTCACAACGGAACTCTTATTCATGAGTAGCTTGTGCGTCACGGCAACGATATCCCGCAGTCAACTCTCAATAAATGAATATTATATCTTACGAAAGTTACTATTAAAAAAATGATATGTATATGTATTTCCGATAATGTATTAAATGATTATTATAAATCCCCATCGATATTTTAATTAATTAATTTATGATCTAGGAATGGGAGGATCACAAGTTCAAATGGGATCCCTTGGAGTACGGTGGCGTGAAGGAGCTCTACGTACCTTCAGAACACATCTGGTTGCCCGACATAGTACTTTATAACAAGTAAGTCAATACATCTGTAATATTATAATAGCATATTTTTGGCCTTTAGTGAGGAGTTAATCATCGTTTTTGAGGGGGAAAAATCATCAAATTACTTTTCCCTCACTTTGTAGGGCGAGAAAAAGTGTCGGGCACTTACTTTTTTACAACATACATTACGCATTTATTAACGCGGAAAATAATTATTTAAATACCTAGTAGTACCTTGACGTTTCGACCTGGTTGCACAGGTCGAGGTCGCAAGCAGACATTTACTTAACACCTACTCATTCCCTCCTCTAGGCTGCTCAGGCTCATTCTGCTGCTCTAAGCCAGAGCCGAGGTACATCGAGATGTGTTTGCAACTGCACCTCCCGGGCAGCAATAGTCTTACAAATGATATGTCAATTAAACACTTATATGACGAAAATATAATTTTCACTTAAAGAGAGATTGCGGTGCCATGTATGCTACGTGATATAACATAAATAGAATCACAATCTCCCATCATTCAACATACAAATCCCAACAGTTTGTATTCCATTTAATACTTGAACAGCAAACAGAGAAAACACTCAGGTCAAAGTAAACAATGAACTCATTCTGATTCACCTAAATAATATAAGATTAAATTTGAGAACAATACTCAAAACCCCCATTAGAGAACTCATAGGTATTCTAACTACACAACGAGCGACATCCGATACGCCTCGACTGCGAATACGTTTAGCAAATTAATTTCACAGCTCCGAACTTGCCCGTCCAACATTTGGACATTAGCTTGCACCAAATTGCATTGTTGTACCACCAACTTGTCTGTAGATGCCATAATTGCAAGCGGCTTTATGCCCCGCTCGTTGATTAAAATATTTCGCTTTGTTGTAATTTTGTTTTGTATGTTCTAGGAATAATTAGAAAGCAAAGTTTTTTTATTACCTACGTATAACTTACTGAGAGCCGTGTCCCAATTTAATAAAAACCTTTTAACATAACTTGAGTTACTCAAAAGCTGTACAGAGTAACTTAATATTCGGGACGCAACAAAAACCATGGAACCCCATAAAGTCAGCGAAGCAAGCTTCTCAAATCAGAGGATACGCTGAGATTTTACGAGTCAGTTGTTATGGACAGTACATTCCCATCCCATGATGCATGGTGTTCCCTCCTCTCGGTACTAGGAACACATAAATCATGCGGTTTATGCGTTCCACTTAGATACACGGATCTTGATAACTTCTTGCCATGCCGTTTGTTTTGCAATGGTCGTGCCAAAAATGTAATCGGGGAAGAAATTGGAGTTGTGTTTAAAATTGTATTTGTATACGTACTACTCATATTTGTAGTGTACTAAACTTTAGGCAATATTACTTACTTAATAACACAAAAACGTTGGACAGACCTTTGCCAGACACTGGCCAAACAAATGGCCGTTACCAGACTAAACAAAAATAGATCACGAATGTAAACATTATTTGTGTTCACAAGTCGCGACTTCTACCAGAGTAGGCAGTGTATCCTTAGCTTAATTGATTGAACGAAATATCGACAAGAAAGCGTTCGCGAATGATACATCATGTGTGTCAAAACATGCCGGGCAAACGATTAATCATGGGCAGCGAATGAGAGACGCACGTGCGACTAATCTTACGCTATGTCGACCCTGTATAAGCGGCTTAAGGCGTAAGAGAATAGAGGCAATACACTCCGAAGGTTAAGCTAATAAGTAAATCTGTCGTTTTTACCGTTTCATCTGCAAGTGGCTATTGATAGGAAGAAACTAATAAAAGATAAGCCTCTTTCAATATACAAGAGACGGAATCACTTTTGTACTTAGGTAGGTACGAACAAGTAATGTTTATTGGCTAACCCCACGGGCCAACAAATGAGGATTCGTCGATGCAAAAGAAGACATCTTTTTTTTGTTACTTTATAGCAGTATACTACCTCCAGTATAGGATGTTTCTGATTTGATTCCCAATCTGTCAGGTTAGGTTTCAATAGTAACATAAAGTCCAAAATTATTACTAAAAGGCAAACTACACCATATAGGAACAGGTACTTTCGAATAGTCAAAATAGAATAATAGTCCGACAATCAGTGAAGCTAGGTGCTCGTCCCAAAGTGTAGATTCGAATGAAATTCGAACGAGAAAGAACATAGGCACATCGTTACTCTTAAAAAAATGTTTGCATGATTATAAGCAAGACTGTAAGTCTGTTCTCCGATGCACTGCGGTCTCAGCCTAGAGCAGGAGAAGAAACGGAAGGTTTTTAGTCAGTAAGAGTCTGACACTCCTTTCCACACCCTGGGAGGGAGAAGTCATATGATTTTTCGAAATTTTGTTATCCGATGTGTGGCAATTCCGATTAAGAAACTCATAACGGAAGATTTGTTTAAGTCGAATATCTCTCATAACTTAAATCCCATCGTCTTTGAACCGAACCGTCCCTTCACGTATCAGCTGCCTTTTGATAGGTTTATGGTAGCTGTCATAAATTGGGCAACGCACTACGTGGTACTATAATATGCTGTAACATATGAATATGTGAATCTTGTGTTTATAGCATACGGGTTGTGATAGGTTGATAGGGTATTTGTTGACTAGGGTCTAACAAATTGGTTTTGTGGCAATCAGAAAATAGCAATTAACGTAATGTTTCGTTTACATCCAAACTAATAATATAAATGCGAAAGTAACTCTAAAACCACTACCTACACATAATAAAACTAAGTCACTTTCTCTGTCCTATATCTCTATGCACGGTTAAATCTTTAAAACCACGCAACGGATGCGGTTCTTTTAGTAGTGATTGAAGAGAAATGTTTACATGTATAGTTTTTAAATTTAGTATCAGAATGGCACCCGTGCGAAACCGGGCGTTTTCAGAAAAATATAATGTTGACGAAACTTTTTTGTTAACCAGTGCTGATGGAGAGTACGTGGTGACAACGATGACGAAAGCAGTTCTGCATCACACTGGCAAAGTGCTGTGGACTCCTCCAGCCATCTTCAAATCTTCATGTGAGATCGACGTGCGCTACTTCCCCTTTGACCAGCAAACTTGCTTCTTGAAGTTCGGATCTTGGAGTTATGATGGCGATCAGGTAAAATGAAACTAGTTTTAAGTTCTTGTTCAGAAGAAACTATAGTTTGTAAATATTTTTTTATTTTAATTACGATTATTGACTAGATTACTTCGAAATACACATAAAACTTTTCTTTATTGATATCATAAATTATTTATTACATACCAAACAGTCTGAGGTTTAATTGAGCTGCCGTAAATTCTGCTACAAATATAAATAAAATTGTAAAAAAAATTGTAAAAACAAATCTGGCATTTCGAAAAGGCGGATCATTTTTTTTATTGAAACCTGGTATAGAATCTAACAATGAGAGGACATATTACTTCAAACCCTTAATTATATTAGGAAAAACACTCCATCCTTTATGGCGTCCATAAAAGACATTATAAGCTTCTTAATGTAAATTATCCCAAGGCAATTAGTTAATTGGGATAACTTAAAATTTATGGCAGATCAAAGAAATTTAATGGGAGCCTTTTTCATTTTGTTTTATACAAGAAAAGTGTATTAAATTAATTATTTATTCATTGTTGAGTTGTGAAAATAGAATCTGAAATTATGTTTTGTAAATATTACTCGTATTTATTCGTGATGTTTTATTCCTTTACATTATTTATAATGGAGTCTATGTGTACGTATACCTACAGAATTTTGTAATATTTCATACTTCATATTTTCAATGGATGACTTACATAATGATTTACGAGTTTATGTATAACTATGATCATTAGTCTGTACTATGTGATATATGAAGAATTCCAGAACCCTTTTTTGCGGCTGGCAAATCACCACATGACTTGTTCCGCTTAAGGTGGGGCAATATTCGCTTGGAGACTTTTACTGACTAAAACCCACCCCAAGCTAAATACTGCTCTGTGCCAAGACACCTGGCCTGTGCGCTTTTGGTATCATTTGTTTGCAATTGCTGTCTTTGTGAATAGCTACCACAATGTTACAAATATCTCTACATGTATCCTCCTTCAGCCAACCCTTAAAGATTTTTTTAGGATCAACAGTAATATTAGACTTCCAATGACACTTTAGTATTTTCACAGATTGACTTGAAACACATCAATCAGAAAAAGGGTGACATGGTGGACGTCGGCATTGACCTTCGGGAGTACTATCCTTCTGTGGAGTGGGATATTCTTGGAGTACCAGCTGAGAGACATGAGAGGTACTACCCTTGCTGTCAGGAACCGTACCCTGGTAAGTTCAAGATCGCTTCTTGTGGAGAGAGACTTCTAGTACTTAATAAAAATAGACTTATATAGATTTCAACTCAAGTAATTTATACGAAGCGTATCATTTATAAAATTACAGTACATTATCGATTCATACTTAAATTGCAAAAGAAACAGTCCAAACAACCGCCAGAACTAACTTTCCAGCTTGTTATCAATTGATAGAATATAAAGAAAAACTTAAAATAAAGATCCAAAAGGATTTAACAAAACAACGCGCCAATATAAATCTAATCAAAGTTTACAACTAAACAAATTACTTGTTCCCAACTTTGATTGGATAATATGCTTACAAACTTGCAAATATGGGTTACGAACTTCAACTAAGTGTTATTTCTCCTATGAATAGAAAGTTCCGAGAAAATATAGCAAATATTTGTATTAAATCTCGCATAGTTGATCTTTGTTCGAGTAAAGCAGGATTAAAGTAGTTTGTAATGTTTATAATCACTTTGATATGACAATAGTTGGTCCTGATGTAAATTAATCAAGTGAGTTTACTTAATTAAATTTTGAGCTACGCAACAGATGTTTAAGTCAAGTGTGGCAGAGCCATGGCTTTGCAGAAAACCATGAAATAACGCATGCGTTGTGTTTGTATGTTGCCAGAGACCTAATTCTTCCATTCCATCCCTAATCTTCGAACCCCCACCTCCAAAATATCAACTACGTGCTTGCATTTCTTCTAGCGTGGTCTACGAGAGGCGCCAATTCCTTACCATCATAAATTGTTCGAGATATATCTCATACTCAGTATGCAGTTGCTGCTTTAACAGTGAATAACAAACCCCTAGTACAGTTTTTACTTAAAAACGCTCAACATTTTTATTTTTTCATTTATATTTTTATTTTAAATGCGTAGTTGTAACTGTTCTAATATTTAACCTATAATGGTATACCAACGTATCATAATCCTACGTCATTCCATCGACCTTCATAATACACATCACAATAAAATTCATCTACAAAATCCCTGCCAGCTCCAATCAAGATCTTGGCATCCGTAACCGCAAATCTTAACTAAGACCGCGATCTTTCGGGACAATCCTTTTATTTCCGAGAGATGTCGCACAACGCTAATCTGGGAAAGTTGTAAATTACAAGTGGAACGACGAAAACTCTTATCTATGCAAAATTAGTGAGTTTCACTGCTACCATGTCGCCTTCGCCAGGTTAAATGGTTGTTTCTGTAATGTCTTCGAGTGCGGGCCTTGAATGTAGATCAGCATTTGATGCCTCAAATTTATCATGTTAAGAGGCACTGTTGTGTACTCATTGTCTCCTGAAGGAAAATTAATAGAGTATTGGAGATAGGCTTTATCAAAGCTACACAAGGCTTAAGTTAAAAGAAATTCTAAAGAACATAGCCCACAAAATCAACATACGATCAATCTAGTGTCAACTTTGTTTCGTATGAATTAAGGGTGGTTTTGCAGCAAGAACTTGCTAGAAATACAGGAGTTTAATATAAATGTTCAGTAATAGTGGTAGAGGTATCTAAACCTCTTTGTGCAGGAGTTAATCCGGATAACCACTAACAGTGTTCCTACTACCGCAGTCTACAGTGTTTCAGTTAAAAAAACAGTTCTATCAAATACTGACGGGACGATAAAACGAGGGACCGAGATGAGGTAGACATTGTTTGTTATCTGGAATAGCATTAGGTATTTACGCATGAAAAAAATAGTTTGGTAATCTCCGAAAGTGTGTGTATTTAATAAATACTCAACAATAATATTAATGAAATATACCACCACAAACTTCAAGATAAACAAACTCATTTAAAAAACCTTCGTAAACCAAGTGTCAGAATCGCCGTAGATATAAAGGCGCTTGAACGGACAAAAGGCTTTCGAGAGGTCCACTTGATGCCTATAGAAACTCCCGTCTTTATGCACTTACAGTCAATTGTTAGAGAATCAAGCAGTTTACGAAGCATTCTAGTGCTACCACTTATGACAGCAAAACACAGACTTTACGAGAAAACTTCACTTCCAGTAAACGTTCCTAGACTGATTCTACGTTGTAAATGAAAAACAAAGTTTGATATTTTCTGTTTTATTATTACTGTGATGAAAGTTTTTATAGGGTTAAATAACAAAATGTTTTATGATAAAAGATAAACACTGAACGAAGCTATGCGGCCGCTCTTTTAGGCACGCCAGCGACGGAGGATCGAGGAATATTTTATGCTTATATAGTACTATGTACACTTTTGGGCTTAATTGAAATAAAACATTTAGGTCAATATTCACAGTATTTTTGTGCGTTATGATACATGCCTGAAACGTAAAATGGATCCAAACTCGTCTAAATATAAAAAGGTAAACAAAAACAACCGAGCAGATGACTAGACACATTTACACAAATCCTACGCCGCTCCATATGATACTCCAAATATAATGAGGCTCATCTATTTAACGGGCAGATGTCCCTAAATTACAAAGACCAGTTTAGGCGCAGTCCCTACATATTTTTCTTGCTCCACTTTCGTAGTCCTCATACATCTCGACGATTTAACAACCCATACTCTTTGGGTCCAGTCATTGTTATTCACGTTTCGCAGATGCCCATCAGTTGGATGACGTCACACCCGTCCTTACACGGCATACGTAATTTCGCTTACGAACCTTCCCATTTAACAAACGTATATTTCACGTTTAGATAAACACATTTGGAAGTTCATAATGACGCCCCACTCATTTCAGCTTAACAGCTCTCTGGAGATTTTCAACCTTTTTTCCCGTTGATACATTTTTATGGTCCACACCTTTCGCGGCTTGTTTGATTAATTTTTTTGTTATGAGGTCAAATGCTTTTTAATTTTGAAGAGTTATGGTTATCAAAGTTTGAAATACTGTTTTATCTTGTGGGTTTTCCACCACCGTTATGTTTTGGGGTGAGCAACAATATTTCATACTGATGTTTAGTAGTTTTTGTCGAAGTAATTGGCTTTTCTCATGCAAAATATGCTTTTAAAGATTTGCAGTTATTTTCCAATTACACGTATACAAACATACATTTCTCCTGTTATTACCATGATTAATTACCAAATTTAATTAAAGACGTGTAACTTGATCGTTCACATTTGTAATACTAATTCCAATCACAACGATAATACTTACTCGAACCTTGTACCAAAGAGGTAAACTATCAAACGGAATTTTAGTACTCATCGGTTGTAATCCTAGACCGGTGTAACTTGTGATGTTCTTCGTAATTGCAACATCCTCAATGACTAGTTAAATCTGGGCAATTTGCCGGCAGAGCAGTCTGTAATTACAGTCGGCTCCTCAAAGACTTATGCCGTCAAATTAGAAATCCCCTTTTCGATACCCAGATGATGATTGCTCGTGTTTCGTAGTAAAGGTTTTATTTTCGCTTTAGTTGGAAAATTGGTTAAATAGTAGCCATACACGATTTCTGGATTGTACCTTAAATTTAATACTGATGTTAGTAACAGAATTAAATAAAGTGAAAATGTTCTGTTTACACAATCTTAGAAACAATGTATAATTTGAAGTCATACTTGTCTAAAAGATAACATTAATAGCTTAAAATCAAACAAAAATTACACTTAAGACAATTACACTTCTAAAAAGAAGAAACCCAAAGAACAAATTTACGTAGCGGCGCCGACGAACTAAAACTTTATCATTAAATACCATTTAATCTATTAAGTGTAGCATTAAAGATAAATCCGAGATCCTGAGAAACTTGGAGAACAAACAAATCGGTCAGCTGAAGGAGTTTATCTTTCTGTAACAGAATTCTTAGAGGAAACCTCATTCAGTATAGTAACTGACCGTAACGTGTTTCGGTCTAGACAATAAGATTCTTCACAAAGACTGAAATTAAATCCTTTGTCCATTCCAAAGTCTTCTTGACTTTACAAATAGAGGTTTTTATTAAAACATTTGCTGTTGTAAATCTTAGGGTTAGCTTTAGAGCTAGTTTGGTACGTGATTCGTATGTTCATAGTTTTAAAAATGTTTCTTGTAGCTCTCTGTGTATTCTCATCATGAAATCAGTCTGTGTATTTAGACAATAAATGCTTCCAATATTATTTAAATGCAGCTTTAATAGGAAATTGTACTTTGAATCTATCCAAAATGTATATCAAAACACAATCAAGTAATATTAATGTTGGAACAACGGTTGTTTACTTCCGAATATTCCAATATTTGATTGTTAAACAGTCTTAATAAAATTTAGGACGAAATAATGGACGAAGATTCTACTTTATCACATTTATTGCGAAATAATAAGTGATTTATTTCGTTTTCTTTATTTTTCTACACATTTGTGTGATTTCGTGTGTAAACGTAATGATCTTTTTTCTTTCACCAATTATTTCACCCTTTTTATAAAATGTACTCAGTAGTGGAATTAAAACAAATTAATATATTTTTTCTTCTTTATTAGCTTAATATGGATTACCAAAATGCTACCTGATTCTATTCTTTACATATGTGTGCTAACTTTAAATAAAATAACACATTTGTTCCAGATATTTTCTTCAACATCACGCTAAGAAGAAAAACTTTATTCTACACCGTCAATTTGATTGTACCATGCGTCGGTATCTCGTACCTCTCAGTTCTTGTCTTCTATCTACCTGCTGATTCTGGAGAGAAGATTGCTCTCAGCATTTCCATATTACTATCCCAAACTATGTTTTTCTTGCTGATTTCTGAAATTATACCTTCAACATCACTCGCATTGCCCTTGCTGGGAAAATACCTACTATTCACTATGTTGTTAGTAGGGTTATCTGTAGTGATAACTATTATCATATTGAATGTACACTATCGGAAACCAAGTACCCATAAGATGGCTCCATGGGTTCGAAAATTCTTTATAACGAAACTTCCAAAGCTGTTACTGATGAGAGTACCTAAAGATTTGCTTAGAGATTTGGCAGCGCAGAAGATTGCTGGAAGAAGTATGAAGAACAAGAATAAATTTAAAGATGCTCTCGCAGCGGCTGAGCAGACCAATTCCAATGCATCAAGCCCTGATTCGCTTCGCCATCATTTACCAGGTGGATGCAATGGGCTACATTCGACTACGGCCACTAACAGGTTAATATAGATCCAAGATATTCTATACGCTAATCATGTTCGATTTTCTAACCAAAATTTTCACCAAACAGGTTCAGCGGCCTTGTCGGTGCTCTAGGCAGTCTCGGTGCTGGTTATAATGGCTTACCATCAGTCATGTCTGGTCTCGACGACTCTTTAAGCGATGTAGCTCCGCGGAAGAAGTACCCATTTGAGCTGGAAAAGGCAATCCATAACGTCATGTTTATACAACACCACATGCAGAGGCAGGATGAGTTTAATGCTGTAAGTATTTCTACAAAACCTTCATTAACTAAGATAAATATTTGAGGAAGACAAGCATTTGTCACATTTTTTCAAAAAATAAAGATAAAAAAGTTACAAATCAAACCCAAAGTAATCAAAGGTAATATCTCAAATATTATGCACTCAATCATATATGGAATTTTGTACCAAAAATAATTTATTTTCCCAAACAGGAAGACCAAGACTGGGGCTTCGTAGCTATGGTGCTGGACCGTCTGTTTCTGTGGATCTTCACCATCGCTTCCATAGTAGGCACCTTTGCAATTCTCTGTGAAGCGCCATCACTGTACGATGACACCAAGCCTATTGACATGATGCTCTCATCAGTAGCTCAACAGCAATTCCTACCAGTGGACAGTGGAGACTCATAGGTATTGTCATAATAATATGACAATTGATGTTCTTGTGAAATCAGAAATTTAGGAAAAGACGCGTGAGATTATACAAGCTCTAGAAGTGTCGAGATGGTTATAATCAATGGTTGTTTTGACAGAATTTTTCTTAAATATTGTTGATAGTTTAAGTAGTTTTACTTGATACAGCAGTACTATGTCTGCCTTCTTGTTCATTAAAAGTTTTAATATACCGAAGACGTTCATTTGAACAATCGAGATTTCTAGAATCATTATGATCTTGTTGTATTCTTTAGAACTAAGCTTGTTTTCAAAATCTAATATTTAAAATTACTAAGGTCTGAAACTTCAAAGCTCCTGAATATGCCAAGATAGGTCTGTCGACAATCTATCAAACAAATTAGTAGTAAAATAAGACTTTTCCTCTTAAATATTAACTATCCTAATTAGACGTTGTAAAGCCAAAATAGGCTGTGAATTGTATCGTAACATAATGTAAGTAAGTTAAGGTTTCAAGTAAAAAGTTAGTGTTTAAGTTGGACGAAGTAGGAGGGTAATAAATTGTTCTTTCCCTCAGTTTGATACGGTACACTAATAAATTATTGTCTTATCTTATTTTTCTCGCTTTTAGATAACATTTTAAAAGAGTAAGGGACGGTAAATGAAGATGTTGAATCGATAGACGTTGGCGATTCTGAATTATTCATAAGAGAAGTTATATTGGTTTTCGATTTTTCCCAGAATATTTTTTCGGTCTATTAGTTGGGAAAAAATCTTGTATTTACTCAAACAATTGTATCTTCTGCGTAATCTTAGATTAAGCTAATCGAATTTAGACGAGGAACTTTTTCACAACTTGTAAGGTAAGCTTCACACTTAATAAAAGAAAATACAATGTTATATATGAAACACCTTTTTAACGACTTAAGTTTGTAAGAGTATTCCTATTGAACTTTGAGGTCCCAAAACTGAACCTTGTGGGAAACCGTTTCAAAATGTTTATAGAGAGACTTTTGTGTAGTATTGGATGTAACATTATATTAGTTTTGGTTGCCAAATGGGGTGATTAGGGTGGGATATAACAAAACGTTTTTGACGTAAACATTTTCTTTGACAAAACATGGCTGTGTTAGTATATAATTATATATTGTAGTAATGAGGAATCATAATGCTCATCATTTATAGGGTTAGATATTAATAACATATACACATTACGATTTTTTATGTATTATTATCGTGTTATTCAATTTTTAGTACAATTCATGTTAGAAAATTTAAATGAAATCGAAAGCCATGAACTCTGTGTAGCTCGCTCGTAGCCATAGCCAAATAATATATCAATTGTTTATTATGTTTTATCTAATAATACACGTCTTGACATGCCTTTTCAAAACATGTCTTGAGTGATATCATAACACACGCAATAATATATTGAAATTAACGACTTTATCACGTGTCTGAGAAAAACTAATTTCTAATCACAAAGGCAATTCTCGATTAGTAGGTAACCAATATTTTATGGTTACAATATACGACACCAATCCTATGACAATAGATGCCAAAATAGCAAATTTGTTCTAATAAACAATTCGTTTATAACTTCAATTTCCATTTTAAAACAAAACAATATTTTGAATAGCCATGTCATATACATTTAAAAGGTTATAACAATATCAGAATGGCAATTTTGTGACCTTGTTTCACTCTAAAACTATAGATGCAAATGAAGATAAAATTTATTAAATTGTGCTTTATCAAATTAGTAGTGTCCACAGAAACCATGAACCACTTTGCCAAAATAAACAGAGTAGTAAAATTAGTTATAAACATAAGTCAACTCATACATATAAGTTTAGTTTAACCGACTTTGTAGCAGTTAGCGTTAACCAAACCGTGTTTATAATGTAAACTTTGACTTAATAAATTGGCGACGTATGTTTTTATTTGTTTTAATTCGTCGTCTGGAAACCTTTATCAAGTTTACCCTCATCATTTTGTCTTACTTTGAATTATAAATGCGAAACTGTTTGTTCATTTTTCTTTTACAAATTATCAAGGTGAAGGCGTGGTGGTCTGTCGATTCATGCGCCCGGGTCTCAGGCATGTGGGTTCGAAACCTGGCAAGTACCAATGTGACTTTATCTGAGTTATAAAACCTTTCTATGAATATTTAGACATCACTGACATATGGAAAAAGAAAACATCATGAAGAAACCTGAACTAATTATTTGTAATTATGAGTTTAAAATCGTGAATCCGCTTTGAGCAAGAGTGGTGATTAAAGCTCAAACTTTTGCGTGTGAGAAGAGGCCTTTAGCAACAGTGGACAGGTTAAGGCTGATTATATAACTCATCAGGGTATATTTTTTTTATTTTGGGGGTTCCTTCAAGGGCTTGAGAATGAAATTATAAGGAATATGACGTGCCCCACAAATATTAAGTCCGCTTGGATCTACCATTAAATCATCATCATCAGAAGACGTCTACTGCCGAACAAATCGTCGAACGGCAACTCGCCACCTGCATCCGATGGCTCATCGCAACTCTGGGGATGTCGTCTTATCATTTGTTTTATTTTTTATTTTTTTATTTAATCAGTGCCCTACACTAGGCTCTTTTCCTGTGTCCTGAATGCGGTTACAAACATAATTTCTCATACACACCACACCCACACTTGGAACAACAATTTGAGGATCACACAGACAGTTGTTTGGTGCTGGAATCTAATCCGCGTCACTTTGCGCGGCAGCCAGTTGCCCAGCTACCGCGAAAACCATGCTGAATAAAAATCTTAATTATCAATTTGAAAGTAAAGCTACGTACGTAAATTTAAATAAACTTAGCTACGTAAGCTATAGCTATATGAAATTTCTGTCTAGCTGTTTGTAGAAAATAGCTGAAATTCTAAAACGGGTATTTGCTGTATGCTAATAACTGCGATAGATCATGTCTGGCACGAAGCGGAACCCATCGCTTTGGTATGCCGTTATGTGTGTGTACAAATACGTTCATTTTGTTTGCTGTTAGGAATATTAACGTTTAGTACTAATTTTAATAATGGCTAGAATTTTGATGATGAAGTGTAGACTCGTCTTTTGTTACAATCTATCTAGGAATATAACTAGCGAAAAAGTGTGTACACTAAATTAACTTCGATATTTATCGAAGTACACGTACATGTAGTTTCATTGGTTTTCTCCATTCGACTCTACCTACACTTTTTTTATAAAAAACGTTGCCGCACACTAGGATTTTCTCCAGTATCGTGGGTGCGTTTACAAACATATACACATCACACCCAGACCCGTAACAACAATTTGTAAACCACACAAAGTGTTTTGCGTTGCGGGAATCAAACCAGCGACATGTTAGTGTGGTAGTGTGTAAGTGGCTGCCAGTTGCCCAGCCACCGCGCCAACCATAGCCGGGGTTGCAGGGTAAGCGCAATGAGGCACCGCGACCTCGGCTCAGAGCAGGAGAAGGAACAGGTGGGGTTTTAGTCAGTAAGAGTCTGACACAGCTGCCCAGGGCCGGGCGGGAGGGATCCCGCCCGGCCCTGGGCAGAAGAAGTCATTTGATGATTTTCCCCTCACAAAAAAAAACATTTAGCTTCACTGACGATCAAATAGGCAGACTATTATTATATTTTAACGTTTCAAAAGTAGTTTTGTAGTAAGTTCTGGTTATGGTATAGCTGGAACAAATAATTTTGACTTTGTCATTACCAATATGTCAGGCGTTCAGGGATGCAGAGAGAGCTGACTGAGGTGGCGGGCAAAGTGCAATAACATACCACTGCCTGGGAGCAGGAGAAGGAACAACACAGTCTTATATAAGTAAGAGTATGACTACCTATCTCTCGCCCCACTCAGCAAAGCGGCGACATACACAATGGATCACCCTCTTAACACCAGTTATAATATAAAGCCCGCGTAATAGTATTTTTTATGAGATAGGGCGTATTACCTGATGGAAAGCAATTGGCGGCACCAATGGACACCACGCATCACAAAACTAGCTACGAGTGCGTTGCCGGCCTTTTGGAAATTAGGGTTTCTGATATTTAAAGATTGGGAGGGAAGGATGGGAAAGGATTGGGCCTCCGGTAACCTTACTCACACGACGAAACACAACGCTATGGTTGTTTGACGTCAATTTTTTTTGTGTGGCCGTGGCATCACTACGGTCGACTTTCCCACACGTAATAATAGAGAGTGAGCTTGTTATTGTTCACCTGGTATATTTGAAGACTCCGTGCTTCTAGCGAGAATCTTTCGAAATATAAAAGTGCCGGTGTAAAACTACTAATTTGTAGCCAATTTCCATAATAAATTTATTGTTTAACTAGCGGCCCGCCCCTGCTTCGCACGGGTCCAACTTTCTCGCTATCAAAGGGTAACTTTTTCCTAATCTTCCCCTCTAATTTTCTAATATTTTCTTAAATAAGAACCTTCACCTGACAGTAACAAACACAACAAAAAAAGAATTAGCATAATTGGTCCAGGCGTTGTTGAGTTATGCGCTTACCAACACATTTTGCGATCCATTTTTATATATAAGATTGTTTCGATTGGTACTTTGTATCAGTACATTGACCGGAATCTTGTTTATCATGACAAAGTGTAAAACAAAGTAACTTATTCTGCCTATTAAAACTACGAAGCGGATTTTGATATTGTTTTTTTAATAGTTAGTATGATTAAAGAGGATGGTTTATAACATGTATAATAACCTCCATAAAAAAGTGGAGAAATTTACCTATTATCAGCATAGCACTCTTGTGAAGCAAGTCTCTAGTATTATATAAATCTGAATAAACTTATAGATCAGATATCAGAAGTATATAGTAAAAACTTACCAATTAAAGCAATACAAACTGAACATCACAACAGCTTTTAACAAAATCAATATACCCAGTTACTATTTCTATTTATTTCCGAACCCTTACAGCGATCGAACTAAAAATACTAACAAATTCTGGCTCGCATTCGACGCTAGGAAATTTTCATCGAATTTTT